AGGAAAGGAAAGGAAAGGAAAGGAAAGGAAAGGAAAGGAAAGGAAAGAAGGAAGGAAGGAAGGAATAAGGGAAACAGAAAGAGACAGAGAAAGGAAGAGAGACAGAAATAAGAAAAGAAAGAATGAGAGAAAGAAAATCAAAGCTTTCACACTGTCACTGCTATTACTAGTTAAAGATACTTATTTGTTGTCAGTATTACCTATTCTGACTATATTAGAGCAAGAGTGATTTCTTTTTGGATGTATATTCCACAGTCCCTTATTTTTTCTTGTAGACCCTTGTGCCATTAATTATCCTGTATCATGAATATATCTTTTTTTAAATAATTTATTCATTTTTATTTTATGTGCGTTGGTGTTTAGCCTGCATGTATGTCTGTGTGTGGATGTCAGATCTTGGAGTTACAGACAGTTGTGAGCTGCCATGTGGGTGCTGGGAATTGAACCTGGGTCCTCTGGAAGAGCAGTCAGTGCTCTTAATCACTAAGCCATCTCTCCAGCCCCTCATGAATATATCTTAAATTACTTCCCTGTGTACATGTTCTCATGTGTTTTCCATTTTAACAAACAAACAACAAAAACAAAAAAACAAAACTACTTCAGACCAGAGAGATACGGATCATTGGTAGAGAGCTTGCCCCGCATTCGCAAGGCCCTGGCTTCCTTACCCGGAACTGCAAAAACAACAAAAACAAGACTCCTCTTGATTTCTATAGACAGTGGTTTTGAAGATACATAATTCTTCATGATACTTGTTTTTTTTTAAAACCAAATTGTGATTTGCAAATAATTTTACATGATCATGACAACCAGTTTATTTTAAAAAGAATAATCAATGATAACTAGCTATCTTTTTATCTTCCACTGACTTAGACACAGGCAGTTTCTTTGTTACCTATGTTCTTATTACTGTCCTCAGCAATACCCTTGAACTTAAATAGTGTTTAGAACGTCCCCAGGTCCATTCTTGTTAATAAATCAGTGGATACTTGTTCTTACACGCTGCTGACCTGCAGCATTTGAAAAACTAAACTGCTTGTTCCTGAAAAGGTTCCTGAAACCTTTTCTTCTTTGTGAACAGCCAGTTTCCAGATTCACTCCTAAAATTCTGGTCACTTTGTTTGAGCCTTTCTGCTTACTGAATTATTTAAATTACTAAACAGTCTCAGTTTCTCTCTCCCTCCCTCCTCATTCCTCCCCTTCATTCTCTTCCCTCCCTCTCCCTTTCTTCCCTTCCTCCCCCCTGCTCCTATTTCCCTCTCTTTTTTCCCCTCTCTCTTCCTTCTCCCTCTCTCCTTCTTCATCTCCACATATTTACTTTGTGACTTCAGCTGCCAGATATTTTTCTTTCTTTCTTTCTTTCATTCATTCATTCATTCATTCATTCAATCTCTTTACAGCCTGATCCCAGCTCCCTCCTTTCCTCCCAGTCCTACCTTCATGCCCCTTCCCCCACTTTCCCCTCACCTTCTCAGAGAAGGGAGGCTCCCAAAGGTTTTCAACCCACCTTGGCACCTCAAATCACAGCAGGACTAAGCACGTTTTCTCCCTCTGGGACCAAGTAGGAGAGGCAGCCCAGCTAGGGGAAGGGGATTCAGTGGCAGGTAACAGAGTCACAGACAGCTCCTACTGTTGTTGTTAGGGGGTCCACATGTTGACCAACCTGTACATCTGCTGCATATGTGTAGGGGGTTCTAGGTCTAGTCCATGCGTGTACTTTGGTCACTGATTCAGTCTCTGTGAGCCTTCATGGGCCCAAGTCAGTTGACTCTATAGGTCTTTTTGTGGTGTCCTTAACCCTTCCGGCTCCCTCTGTCCTTCCTTGCACTCTTCCACAAACCTCCCTGAGCTCATACTATTGTTTGGCTGTGAGTCTTTGCATCTGTTTCTGTCAGCTGCTAGATGAAGCCCCTCAGAAGGCAGTTATGCTATGTTCCTGTCTGCAAGCATAGCAGAGTATCATTAATAGTGTCAGGGGCTGACTGACTTCTATTGGGTGAGTCTCAAGTTGAGCCAGTTATTGGTTTGCTATCTCTTCAAACTCTGCTCCATCTTTATCCCCATACTTCTTAATTTTAGATAATTTTTCGATGAAAAAATTATTATTGTGTGTTTATGGCGTGACATAAATGTTATTCACATCCCATGGAATGTGTGTGGAGATACAGTTTTGTAGAGTTAATGTCATCATTAGCTTCACTTGTCACCTTGGCTCACCTGAGAAAAGGAAACCTCAGTTGAGGAATTGCTTCAATCAGATTGGCCTGTGAGCATGTCTGAGGGGAATTTTCGTATTTGTTAATTGATGTAGAAGGGCCCAGCCTGTTGTGAGTGATGCTATTCATCAGCAAGCCAGGGGAGGCAGGCAATGTAAGCAACATTACTCCATGGTCTCTGTTTTAGTTCCTGATTTAGGTTCCTGCCTTAGCTTTCCTCAATGATGGACTATAACCTGTAAGCCAAGTGAACCCTTTCATTCCCTAATTGCTTTTGGCTAGTGTTTGTCACAGCAGTAGAGAACTAAACTGGAATAGTTAGTGGTCTCCTACAGTTCCTTGAGTTTCAGGAATCAAACACAAGTCTCCAGGCTTGTGCAGCAAACACCTTTACTTTCTCAGTCATCTGGCCCCTTTAGATACTCATAAGGCAGACTGGGGGCAGTTTTGCATTGAACTTTTCTCTTCTATTCTTGTTGCCATCATTTGGCTTAGGCCGTTGCCATTTCTTAACCAGTCTTTTAATTTGACTTTAAGTATCTATCTTCAGTTTGTCTGATCTAGGAAACTTGATTTCCTGGCTTTGACTTTTCTATTACATTTCATTTATCTTTCACAATATGGTCACATAGAACCTGTTATTTAGAGATGCCAATTTAATTTTTAGTGTTCTCAAATTGATCAGTTAGAAGAATTCATTATTATAAATTTTTCAATGCAAAATATTAAATGCAGAGGTATAGATAGCATAAAGATCAAAGTTACCTTTCCATTTTTATTTCCTCAGCCTTTTCTTTCCTTCAGACATAACTATTATCAGCAGCTTAAGGCTCATCAGTCTACACCACTTAATTTGCATAAACATACATATATGTATGCTTACAAATAAAGTTTTGATTGGATTGTATATAGGCTGGATTTTTATATGACATTGCATATTGATTGTTCAACTTACTTTTTAAGCTTCACATATTGAACTGTGATAATAATAATCTTATTTTTATATGTAGTAGAGATATGCAAATATTTAGGTATACTTACACCCTCTTGGAGATGTTTCTAACTTCTTGTGCCTCTGACTTTTACATTTACCCACTAGAAGCCGGTAGCAGGACACTGCTCCAAGCCCACTCCTGCTCCAGATTATGACAAACAGAAATGCCTGTAGGCATTATCAGAAGTGCCTGGGAGATAATTTTATCCATAGACAAGTGTTAAAAGGAAAAGTATTTTAAAAATTAATATGGAGAATTAAAAATGAAATATGAAGAAGTAATTCTGTGTTTCTTGTAATGTATGATGAACACCTTATAAAACTTTTAAGAACAAAATGTTGGTATATATAAATGTACTACTTGGATAAATTCTTGTACATTGTTTAAATTCTAGAAATACACAGACAACCGGGATGTTAGTAGAGTGCTTGATTGATTAGTACAAGTAAAATCCCATGGTCCCACAATAAATGAGTGTTTAATTTTTTTAAATTGTTGTAAAATACATGTTACAAAATTTACCAAGTAAACAATTTTATTTATAATATAAATATATTTTTGAATTTTTGAAAGAGTCTTTATATATATCATACATAGCCCAGATTGGCCTTGAACATGAAATCTTGCCTTACAATCCCATTGGGATTGTAGATATCAGCCACCACAAAGCTCATTTTAAGGGTCTTCAAATATAAAACCCCGTGGCAGTAAGTACTTTCACATTGTTAGACAGCCTGTCAACTGACTATCTCTAAAACTTTTTTTAAACTGTGTATATCTGGAACTCTATACCAATTAAACAAAAGCCTCCTGCTCCCTTCTCCTGCACTATCCTGCTTCCAGTCTCAGAGTCTGATTGCTTTAAGTACCTTATGACATAGCTTCAAACAGTATTTGTCCTTTTGTGACTGTCCTGTTGCACTTAGCATTATGTTATAGCATAGTACAGTATTTTCACTTTAAAATTTTTAATAATATGTGTGTGTTGTATTTTGTTTATTGATTTATTGATGTGTACTTAGGTTGTTCTGAATAATACTTTAACACACATGAGTATATAACAGGGAAATGTCTCTTTCTGCTGCCGAAGCCAATAACTAGAGAAGCAGTGATGGGAGAAAGAGCTTTATTGGTAATAAGCTAGCAAGTGTGAGATGGAAGGCTTTCACACCCAAGTTCCATCTTGTCAGAGGTTCCAAGCTGGAAAGCTTGCATGGTGATTCTGGGAGTCTGTAGTCAGGTGAACACTGGATTGATGATTAATTCCTTTGTGTGTTTGTGCTGGGAAACCCATGCATGCAAGGCGAGTGTTTTACCATGGGGCTCTCCCCCTAGCCTGACAATTAATTCTTGTAGTAATTGATTGTGCTGACATGGTTTTGGTTCATAGGTCACCAGGAATTCCAGGCATTCCTCTTTCCTGTAAACCTAATGCTGATGAGTAGGAAGTCATCCTGCCAGTGGTTTTCTTGTATGGCAAGGCTGACATCAGTGTTAAGTATTTGGAAAGTGGGTCATAATGGACCAAGGCAAAGCAAACACAGTGAAAAATGGATTTACTCTACTGTTAGGGCATGAATTAACCAATTCAATTTCAGTTAGCAGACTTGTATTGTATGAGTGAATTTACTTACCTGGTTTGGACTATATAATACTTCTGGTCTCTGGGATAACAACTTAAAGAAGGAAACATTTATTTTGGTTCATGATTTTGAAAAATTCCCTCCCGTGGTTTCTTGGTCCCAGGTACTTAGATAGAACATCACTGGCAGCAATGTGTGAAGAAGCAGATGTTCAAGTCATGGTGGACACAAAGAGAGGAAGGGACTCAGGATCCAGCATAACCTTCAAATTCACACACCCAGTGAGCTACTTCCTCCAACTAGGCCCTACCTCCTAAACTTTCTAAAGCCTACCAAAGTAGCAACAATAGCCGGGGACCAGTATATGAACATACTGGGGTGGGGCATTCATATTCCAAGCATACCAGATTTGAAAATTTCTCCCATTTCCTATGTTGCCTTTTTACTTTCACAGTGTCCATTTGTGTGCACGTATTAATGTGGTCTAATTCATTTTTTTTATGATACCTATTTTTTTTTTTATTCAAGAAATTGTCAAATCTGGTTCTAAACAGCTTTCCCCTCTTCCAGGCATTCTGTGGTTTGCTTTCTTATGCTTACATCTCTTGATGTGACTCATGTTGAGTTCATTTTTGTAGATGGTGTATACTAAGGGCTGAGATCTATCTATCTATCTTATCTATCTATCTATCTATCTATCTATCTATCTATCTATCTATCTATCTTGTCGGGAAAGCCATTTCCTCAATACTATTTGTTGAAGAGACTGTCTTTTCCCAATGAATGATTTTGGCTTCCTTATCTAGAGCATTTGACCATATGTACGAGGTCTTATTTATAGTCATTTAGTTAATATTTATATTCATTGTTATTTAGTTACATTTGTTTTAGCTATTTCTGTGTAAAGGTCCTGATTTAGTGTACATGGTTTGGCTGGAGATATAACTCAGTAGTAGAGTGTTCACTACATGTGCACAAGCCCCTGGGTTTCACCCTCAGCACCATAAAAAAGAAAAATTATTATTTTTTCTTTACCATTGATCCCTTACCATTGATCTCAGCCAGCAGCATCAGAACTCAACTCTGAATAAAACTTATCTCATGTATATTTTCTCTGTAGGGCACCTACCCCACTGCATGCACCCAAGGCTGTTGTGCAAGGAATTGAACCCACATCACAACCTTTCTATGCTTAGGAGTGATAATATGTCAGTATATTGATAATATGTCAATATACTGAGGGGTGGAGGGTCATCTTGATGAGAGAAATTACCAACAACAGTACAAAAACACATCAAGTTTGTCACCAAGTAGACTGTGCAAAGGGTGCTTGTGTATCTGAGAGCTGAAACAGTCCAGCTGGCAACATGCATTTTTTTGTTACTCAAATCTTTATGTCTCCGCTTGTCTGCAACTGTGAATGTTGAACTTACATAGATGTGGATGAATTAGACAAGTTTGTAAATATGATGATGAGTACAAAATAAAGATTGGCTAAATGTACAATTCAGTAATTTGTGAGTATTTACTACAGTCAATATGAGAGTATTTTCATCACCTCAAAAAAATCCTGTTGCTAGGAACAGTCTGGTTCCTTAATCTCACCTCTAGTACTAAGGATCAATAACTTTTAAAATAAAGAATTTTAAACTATTTTTTTCTTTTTAAAAGTTAGAAATTATTGCTTAGGTTATAGAATGCTCAGGTAGGTGTACCAACTAACATGACTTTGTAGAGGATATAGTAGATACTTAGCCCCAGTTTCTTCCATGCCATACCAGACAGACACACCAAGAGGACTCACAGAAATTTTAGCAGTTTTGTCCTAATTTGTAATTGGATTTTGTAGCAGGTCTATGAGGAGTATCCATTGGGACTGAGCACTGAACCTCAAACTCGACTGGCGTTTCAGTCTGGAGTGGATCAAGAAGAAGACAAAAAAGAGGTATGCAGTGGTGCTGCTTCTGAATTCTGTGTGTAGTTGGAAGCAATTAACTAGTCCAAACAACAGGAATTCTGGGGCTGGAGAAATGGCTCAGCAGGTAAGAACATGCTGCCCTTTGAAAGAATCTGAGTTCAGTTCCCAGCCTCTACATGGGCCCTCACAACCATCTATAGCTCCAGTTTCAGGCAATCTGATGCCTTCCTCTGGCCTCTGCAGGCACATATGCACTTAAAAATACAGGCATACATACATGGAAAATGCTTTGCCAGCATGCACAAGAAATATGAAAGATTTGAGTAATCCAAAATGTATGTTGCCAGCTGGGACTCCCTTTGAATCAGCTCACAAACAAGCATACTTTTGCAATCTACTTGGTGACATATTTGATGCTTTTTTGTGCTTTAAAAAGGGTTGGTAATTTCTCTGATTAAGATCCATCCCCCAACACACACTATTCTGCTAACACAATATCACACCTAAGCATAGAAAGATTGTAGTGTAGATTTAATTCCTCGTGTAAGGGGTAGAGGGGGAGAGGCTGTTACGTGCCTTAAAGAGAAAATACACGTGTTAGATAAAATAAAAATGAATAAATATTAAAAGAAAAAATGGGTTGGAGAGATATCTCAGTGGTTAAGAGCACTGATTGCTCTTCCAATAGACCTAGGTTCAATTCCCAACACCTACATGGTATCTCACAACCATCTGTAACTTCAGTCCTAGAGAATCCGGCACCCTCTGTGGGCACTTCACATACATGGTACACAGTTGTACAGGCAGGCAAAAACATTCATACACATAAAAATAAATGTATTTTTTTAAATAGAAAAGAAAAACCAGAAATTCCAAAGATGTTAAGTCGTCATAATGTGCTTAACTTTCTTACAGGCTCCTGTAAGAAAGGGGCATTTGTGTGGAATCAGATTTGATCCAAGTGAATTTCTCTAGTTGTATATATTTGCCAGTATAACTTACATAAAATAATATTTTAAATATTTGGCTTTTCTTCCCCTTCAATGAAAAGGTAGTTTAAATTAAGAGTTTAAATCCTGTCCGTGTGCCAGTGTTAGATGTGAAACATTTTTCTGGTGCATCTTCAATAATAAGAGTCATTCTTTAGGATTCTTCTTACCAAAGCATATGTATAAATATGTCATTCTTTTGAGTAGCCTATGTCCTTGAAAGAGAATATGTTAATCCAGAGGTGTAAACAGATCATGACAGTATAGTACCACTTGCTTTTATTATGCTTATTCCATTTATGATCATGATAACCTGGATATACTTCATCCCATCTGAACTTCTCCCCATTATGTATGGCTAGGCTTGAAGTGTGTTTTTGTGATGTGATTTTAGTCTTTACAAGTTAAATGGGCTATTGTTCTATTATGAAATGCCTTTCTCTTTGTGCGGCTCTACTTTTATGATACTGCTTGAGAACACAGGGTAAATATAATATGTACCTTATTGTGTCAAATATAACAATTTCCTAGGTACTATTGACAAGTGGACTATACTAAGGGCAAACTGATATACTGCATTTTTCTTCAGATCATATTAACTATTTCAGCTTTTACTAAGGTAAACTAAATTTTCACTTTCACCGGTTTGTCTATTAACAATAGCTATGTACTTGAAAACATAATATTCTTATTGTATATACTGCCATGAATATAGAAGGAATTTAATGATCTTATCACCTGTAATCTCACTATCTTGACAGTTTTCTTTAGAATAAGAATATTGTCTTTCTTTGTAAAGTTGTCTGTGAATGGGCTTAATACTTTTAATCTCTTTCCTTTAGCGTCAAAAGCAGTATCTGAGACAGAGGAGGCTTTTCATGGATATTGAGAGAGAACAAGTAAAAGAACAAAATAGACAAAGGGAACAGAAGAAGAGAATGGAAAAGTAAGTTCCTTGATTTGTATTCTGAGGCTTAAATGATCAGTTAAGGTAATGTAATGCTTGCTAAGGCTAAGGGCTAAAAATCATCAGTTTTGGGCTCAGGATATAGTTCAGTGGTAAAACATATCCTTAGCATTCATAGTGCCCTAGGCTCAATCCCCAGCCACTATACCACTCGCTCCCCTAAAAGAAAAAAAGAAGAGAAGGATGAGCAATAATCAAGCAGTGGTTTTGTGGTTTTGCTCTAGAAATAATCACTTTTAATCTAGAGAAAGTGCTAAAGTTGTAGGTAAGTACACATATTATATATAATTTTCTGAGACAAAACTCACTTTGTAGGAACTCACTGTGTAGACTAAGCTGACTTTAAACTTGTCATCTTTTCCCTCTGTCTCCCAAGTGCTAGGATTACAAGTAGACTTCTGTATTTTACTTGTTTGACTTTTTTATACTTAAATTTTAGAACAGTTTGTATTAAAATTTAGCGATAGAGTTTCCAAATATCTTCTGCCCCAGACATGCACAACTTTTTCACTAGTAGAGTTTTGTTATACTTTGATAAGCCTACATCAACATTCTGTTACACAGAGTTCAAGGCATGCTTTTAGATTCATTGTTGGTATTGTATATTCAAGTATGTAGTAGTGAAATGTGTCACACACATATCATACAGATTATTTCAATTGCCCTGAAAACTCTGCCATTTCCTCCCTCTCAAGGCCCTCACTTCTCTGGTTCTGTGGTTTCTCCTTCTCCAGTGAGTGTGTAAGCTTTTCAGGTTGGTTTTCTATATTTAGGGATAAGTATTCTTTCACTTACTTTCCATGTTTTGGTGGTTGTTTCTTTTAAAACTGTGTGTGTGTTTAGGGGGCACTCATGCTTGTGGAGGTCAAAAGACAGCTTGTAACAGTCATTTTTCTTGCATCCTAAGGATCAAACTCAGGTTGTCAAGCTTGGTAGTTGGTTACTCTCATTTGTGCCACCATTGCGCCAGTATGTCTTGTTGTAGGTTACAAAGTTTGTAGCTGGGTAATAGTGATGTTTACTTTTCTCCTCTAGGAGCGTGCCTAGTCCCTTTCCAGCACCATCATCAGGAGGGGAAGCCCCACCTCCATTTCTTCATTTTAAATGATACTATTTTCTTATTTTGACTTTAAGAGTTTTTAATGTATGTGTTGAGTACAGGGTCCTTGCAAAATCTTTTGAAATATTTTCTTTCAGTCTCTGTCATGTCTTTTCATTCTTTTAACAATGTCTTTTTTCAGAGCAAAAGATTTTAATGAAGTCTAGCGTATCATTCCTTTTTCATGGATTAATTCTACATACTTAAAACACTAGCTTTGTCAGTTCTGTTATCTTCTAGGAGTGATATGGTTTTATTTTATGTTTAGGTTTGTAATTCATTTTGAGGGGTTTTTGTTTCTGCTTTTAAAGACAAGGCCCAGGCTGGCCTGGAACTCAATGAATCTAAGAAGAATCCTGAACTGCTGTTTCTCCTCCCTGCTCCTTTCAGTATTGAGACTATAGTTCTTGATTCCATGATGCCTAATTGAGAAGTGGGTCATTTGTTTGCTTGCTTGCTTTGTGATATTTTTGAAAACATAATCTTGCTGTTTAGCCCAGATTGGTCTTGAACTCATAATCTGTCTGTTTCAGCCCCTGAAGCCCTGGGATTATAGATATGTACCACCATGCCTAGCTGCACGTTTTCAGTTAAGTTTTTATAAGAAAGACAAGGTCTGTTTTGCTACCACTATTTATTATGTCTTTTATTCATTATGTTGTCTTTGCATCTTTGTGAAAAATCAGTTGATTGTATTTATGCAATTCTATTTCTGAAATCTCTGTTCTGTCCTATTGATCTATTTGTTCATTCCTTTGAAAATACCACCCAGTCTTGATTATTTTAGATGTTTATTAAGTCTGGAGTATCACCTGCATTCTTTCCCTCTTATGTTGTATCAGTTTTACTTCATAAACTTTAGAATTAGTATATCTGTGTCCATGTGATAACTTGTTTAATTGTACTGTAATTCTGCGCTTTGTGGGCAAGGCTAAGAGAACTAGCATTTCGACAGTACTTGGCTGTATAATTTTTCAGGTTTTTTTGTTTGTTTGTTTGTTTTGTTTTTTAACTATTTATTTTACATGTGTGAGTATTTTACTGACATGTATGTTTGTGTACCAGAGGCATGCATGCCTGTTTCCCACATAGGTCAGAAGCAGGAGTCAGATCTCTTGGAACTGGAGTTACAGACATTGTGAATGGCCTTGTGGGTGTTGAGAGTTAAAGTGGAGTCCCCTGGAAGAACAGTCAGTGTTTTTAACTGCTAATTTCTCTAGCTCTGCTTTTTTTCTTTCTTTTCTTTTCTTTTCCTTCTCCTCCTTCTCTTTTGATTACTAACATAATAAAATCTCTCTTTTGATCACTAATATAAATGTATTTTTAAATCTGTTTTTTTTGTTCCCAATTGACATATAGGAAAATGACTAAAAAAAATGAAACATTTACCTTTTTATTTATTTATTTATTTTTATAATTTATTCACTTTGTATCATCGCTGTAGCCCCATCCCTCATCTCTTCCCAATCCAACCCACCCTCCCTCTTCTCCTATGCCCTTTCCCTAGTCCCCTGAAGGGGAGTTTCTCCTCACCTTCTATCTGACCCTAGCTTATCAGGTCTCATCAGGACTAGCTGCATCATCTTCCTCTGTGGCTTGGCAAGGCTGCAGCCCCCTGCCCCCAGGGGCAGGTGATCAAAGAGCCAGTCACTGACTTCATGTCAGAGACAGGTCCTGTACCCCTTACTGGGGAACCCACTCAGAAACTGAGCGGCCAATGGGCTTCCTTTCAACAGGGGGTACCTTTTCATTTTTTAGAACATTTTTTTTTTTTTTTGTAAAATACTATAACTGCTGTTAGACTATTTGTTTTTGTTTTGTTTTGTTTTTTGTTCATTTTTTTTTTAATTTTACTTTATTTACTTTACATCCAAGGGTGTTCCCTCTCTCCTCTCCTCCCAGTCCCCCTAAAGTGACTTTTTATATAAGCCTGCTGTTATTATTAGTGTCAAGAGTGTTTTTTCACTGATTCTTTTAGGATTTTTTTGTGTAGCTGAACGTAATATCTTTGAACAATGACATTTCCTTCCTAGTTTCTAACCTTTATTTCCTTTTTGTCTGGTTGCATTTGCAAAGATTCCCAGTGCAATGTTGAGAGAAAATGTTCAAGGACTATTTTTGGTTGTTCCTGAGTTTAGTAAGGAAACAAGCTTACAGTTTCTCACCATTAAGTATGGTCTTAGCTTGTGTGTGTGTGTGTGTGTGTGTGTGTGTGTGTGTGTGTGTGTATATATGTATGTATGTATATATATATATATATATATATATATATATATATATATATATATATGCATATGGAGGTCAGAGGTAGATGATGTCAGGCATCTACCTCCATCACTTTCCACCTTATTTTTGAGATAGAGTCCCTCGTTGAATCTAGAGTTTGATATTTTGGTTAGGATAGCCCCTGGAATTTTCATGTTTCCATTTCTCAATGATGGAGTTACCACACCTGGCTTTTACACAAGTCCTGAGTTTGCACATACTCATCCTATTAAGCTATCTTCTCACTTCTCTGAAATGGGTATAATACCTATCTTCTGGTATAATGATTACATGAAGTGGAGAAATATAAAGAACTTACTATTATGTCTGTTCTGTCCTTACTAAAATTACTGTAAAGAGTCACTATCACTGCCATAATGTTTAATAAATAGAGGACAGGCAGATGGAGAAAAGGAGACCCAAAAATGTTAATTCAAGTACTAAAAGTGATACAGGGATCATCTGCGCTAACATTTCTTACATTTTTTTATTCTTAGTACCCATTTTTTTGCTACTTTGGGTATACAGTTTTATAAGTGGTATGTAGTTGAAAATTTACTGAGAAATCATAAATTTACTTTCTTGATATCATTATATATGTAATTATATGGAGACAATATAATAATAAACTTTTGCTACCTATTAAAGATGAGGACATTTGCATACCAATGAAATGAATATGCTAATTTAGTTTTTATAACTGATTTGAATATTTGACCTTTAGGATGTAGAGGATTTTCAGTATTTTTCAGAGTTGATATTTTGATTTGATAATCATTAATGCTGAGAATTCACTTCAAATAAAGACATTGTACAAAATGGGTGAAGTATGCCTAGAGCCTTGTTAGATGTTGTTAGAAATTCTTTTCTACTACCAAGCCAAAATGTATGTAATGGTTTTTAAGTTAGCAACTGTTAATAGTTTTTAAAAATAAAATATTCTAACACAATACAATCTAAAGATTTACTAACTTGGAACTTAACAACTGATACAATCTTAAGATATAGTAATTTGATCCTGAGGAATGATGTAGGAACATATAGAAAGTCTTTGTTTTAAAAGCAGGAAACTTTCTGTGAAAAACACTGCAGTTTGCAACATAACAGTATTCTCAATTCTCTGCTGAGGTATTTCAGACAGTGCTTAATGTCACGGCCATGCACAGAAAAAAAGTGTGCACTAAGTTTAAAATCAATGCTGTAGGGAAGTCATTTTCATCATTATGTATTCAGAAACCTTTCACTGTTGCCAAAATTGTATGGCCCCTCTATTAAGTTGTATAATCCTGTATGAGAGTGGCACACAGTTTAAAGAAATTGGGAGCTGGAGAACCAGAGCAAATTCCCACCCTAAACAACACTATCATCTGTCTTGTTTTTGATGAATGAAGATGTTTTGGAAGCACAGGGAACTGGGCATGGTTGCAGTGAGTCTTGGCCAGGGACACTTAAGAGGCTGAGCAAATGGCAATTTTGGTGAGAACTCAGGCACACATAGCCAGAGACTCCATTAAGAATCATCTAGGCCTTGCCTTTTGAGACAGGATCTCACTATGTACCCCAGACTGCTCTCAAATTCCACCTGCTTGACTGCTGTTACAGGCATGTACTATCA